ATTTTAGTCAGACATACATTTAAAGTTTTTATTTAAGTAGTAATAGTAGATTTTACTCAGCCTTTTGAGGTTCGTATTTAAGTAGTAAAAGTCATTTTAAGTCAAACAAATTTTTGCTTATTATTTAAGTAGTAAAAGGAAGGACAACATTTTTTTTAAACTTAAGTAGTAAAAGTCCTTTTTCGTCAGCCTGTTATTTGTGTATTTAAATATCAGCTATAGTTCGACCTTTTAACTCCCAATAACAGGAATAAAAATATATAATTTAACGTTATTTACCTTTTAGTTTGTTAACAGATGTTTATTGCCCAAAACTTGGAAAAATTCGAAAAAAACTTGCCTTTCTGAAAAATTATTATTTTCATTGTACTTTATTGAACTATATTTTATTCTCCATCAGGTTTTTTAAATTCTTTTTGCTAATTCTACAAAAAAAAAAAATAAAAACGAAATGTAACATGTTAATTAAATTTAGCAATTATTTCCATGTAATTTCTCAAACAGATTTAAATCAGTGTGTGAATTAACAGTGTAGAATTTATTGTAATACAGATCATAAATTGTACTTGCGAATTTTCTCTGATGAATGAAAATTAGAACATTAATATTCGAATTACAGACATTTAAATTGAGATTAATATCAGCGTTAACATAATCGCATTTAAATTAATGCCCCTAGTATTCAAGTTCTTAATTAATTACAATTTACAATCGAGTTTTATGTGGCTATATATATATTTATTTGACTTGATACTGATCAATTATTATGCGATTCGGCCGGCATTCAAGCGAAATGAGTAAACTTTACTCAAGGCCAATTTAGTGATAGGAAAGTCAACTTTAGTAATAACTCGAGCACAATTTCCAATGGTACCATTCTATATCCAACAATGTAAACTTTACATTCAGTTGGAAATTTTATCCATTTATTATTTTCAAAATTTAGATTAAAAACAAATATAACTTCAAAATATTCACATATTTTGAAAATTTATTTCTAATTTGAGTTTCTATTCAATTATATTTTTGAATTATAATAAATTCTAAATATATAATCCTCTAATGAATTTTCCATCTTATCACTTAATTTTGAAACTGTTTTTATGAAGTGTATGATAAATATCGAAAAAGTATGAAGAAAATATTTTTTTGGGAATTTATTATTTTCGTTCCTTTTGACAGACGGTGTAATTAATTGCAATTATCGTAAAGTGATCAAGATCACGGATGTCGATTGTGGACTACTCAACAATTACTGTACAGTGTACACAATAGAAGCCCATCAACTTGGAGAATTTCATTAGTCGAATTGGCAAATTGTTTCAGTGAAGCAATTCTATTTTAATAATATATAACTTCTGAAATTTCAATCAAATTATATTTGTTGCTATTATAATTTCCATATAGAAGCATTAACTGATTTGTTATTCTATAAACAGGAATAAATTTAATTTTCTAATTTACCTCTTTAATTAAAATTTACAAATCTTTCAAGTAAATTTGTCTTTTCTATATATGCAGCATATATATTGTAGGTATAAAATTTTAATCCCGTTTATTTGAAACCTCTCCTGAAATTGCCATTCGTTCTTTGTTCAATTATCCCTCCCCGCACGGCCCCTTTCTCACACCCTATCAATATTGTCTCACTCGAATTAACTGGCACCCAATTGAGAATGTATGTACATCATGGATTTTCTGTTCAATGTCGAGAACGTCACTTGGAACAAAATTTTATTGAATACGATTACTCCCCCCGATTTATACGATTAAATTCAGCTTTTCCCTTCAAAATAAATAACCGTTCGTTCACTGTCAACGCAGCAGCAACTGCAATTACATTCACAGTATGTGTCATTCGTTTTTTTTTTTTTTTTTTTTTTGCAGAAAATTCACTTAAATAATTTAGCTCCGTATATATGTAAAGCTTTTGAGAATTTTAACATTTTGCTAAAATGCACTTTGCGTTTATATATTTCAAAACATATTGGTAATTTATTTTTCATATTTATTTATTGGTAAAACTTGGTATAATATTTTCAATCTATTAAAAGAAGTAATTAATTGCTTCTTTAGTTTTTTTCACTTAGAATGAAATATTTATTTGATTAATTTTAATAATTAAAAGCACCGAAAAAAAATCGATTTTGTTCAAATAATTACTTGTCTATTATTAAATAAATATTTACTTAAATACTTGAACTATTTTACTTAAAATAAAATTTATATCTAAGTCAATTGGTATTTACTTCAAAATACTGAAATTATTGGTTCAAATACAATTTTTTTTTTAAATATTTATTTTTTATTTATTTATTTTTTATTTCTTATTTTATTGAAGTAAATATTTAATTGATAATAGACATTTGTCTATTATTGGTTATTTGAGTCAAATGAATTTTTTTTCAGTGCTAAATTTACTTTTTACTTTTTGGAGACAAAAAATTTTTAATAAATTTGTTTATTTACTTATTTTATCTATTTTTATAAATATTAATTTAATATTGAAAAAACTATTTCAATGAACTAAATTAAAACTAAAATACGAATATTTTAATTTATTTAAAAAAAGAACAAATTTCTTTGATTCGAGAAAATGTTTAAATCAATTTTTTTCATTGAAATTGTTAATTAATGATAATTTTATTTTGAATCGACATTTTTTTATACTTTCTTTATTAGTTTTATATATTTTTTATTAGTTGTAATAATTTTTTATTTATGATCTATTTTTTATTTATTCTTTTATTTATTTATTTGTTTTTAAATTAAAATTTTCTTAACTTAGTTTTAATTTACTTGAGAATTGAAATAGTTATTTAAATATTAAAATAATATATAAATAATAATATAAAAATAAATAAATAAAAATAAATTAATAAAATTATTTATATTCATTCTCTTATTTTTATTTTCCAGTCGATTTTAGTTTTACTATTTTTACACACATGAAGCAAAAAATGTTTTTTATTGTAAAAAGAAAAAAAAAATTTCCACTCTATTTTTGAGCCAAACAATATTTTGTAAATATTTTACTATTTTTTCCTGGTATAAAAATAAGGCCGCACATGTTGAAGACTTTCGGCACGCACGGTTTTTCCAGTTTTGGAAGATTTAAATACGGCGACACCATCTGCTCAACAAGGGAGAATGGATGTTTCATAAATATCCCATTCTATTTTAGAGAGCCCCGCATATTCCAAGTTGAACAAGAATTCTTTATAATATCTTTGAATTTTAAATTAATAGAATTTTCGAAAGGATTTTATTTAAAAGTCGCATAGTTGATATATTTTCATTCTCGTTAACTAATTCCGCTATTCATTTTGCAACTTTTCGTTATTGCGATAAAAAAAGAAAAGAGAGAGAAATAGATTTTTTAAAATCAATTCAAATATTCTAAATTTAAATTTGAAATTAATTGCTTTCATTTCAATGTACAAAATGAATTTATTCATTTTAATTTGAAGATTAAAATAAATTTATTCATTTTGATTTGAGGATTAAAATAAATTTATTCGTTTTAATTTAGAGTTTAAGATAAATTTTGTCTATTGTAATGTAAAGTTTTGGGGGAAATTTCGTTTATTTTATTGTCGAGTTGAAAATACATTTCTTTACTGTAATGTAAAATTTTTAATAAATATAAAGTTTAGAATAAATTTTTGATTATTTAACTGCAGAATTTCTTATCTATTTTACTTTTATAGCATAAACAAAAAAAGTAAAATAATAATTTGTTTATGTTAGTGTAGAGTTGAAAATAGATTATTTTATTGTAATGAAAAATTTAGAAGAAAAGTTGTCTATTTTACTGTAGATTTTATTACGTACTTTATTTTCATATTGAAAAGAATAATTAAAAATAAAATAATTTTTTTATTATTATAAATTTATTTATTGTAATTAGAAATGGTTTATTCTACTGTAGAGTTGAAAAATAACTGTATAAATTATTAAGTAGAGTTTGAAATAAATTTGTTTACTTTAATATAAATTTTAAAAATCAATTTGTTTATTTTACTTATAGACATAATATTAATATTAATTTATTACAATTTCCGTTTTGAAATACATATCGAAGTCAATTTATTCAAAATAAAAGGAATATTTATTGAAGTTTATTACAAACTTGTTATTAATTAACGTATATGAATTATCGAATTTCTCTTGATATTGATAATAATTGGCTTTGAATTTACTCTCAGCTTTAATGCATTTCGCTCAGTTATCGCTAAAATTTTAGTGATTCATTATCAACCACTATTGAATGAAAAAAATATTTTTTAATATTCGAAAAGATTTTTTTTCACAAAACCAAAAGCTTGTTTTCACAATTTTCAACTGTTAATAAAACTATTTTTATAATTTAATTGAAAAGTATCGCACGGAAATAGAATTATTCTGTTCGTAAATCATCATCAACTTGTTTGTAGAAACTAGAAAGTTTACAAAAAAACGTAAAGATTCTAAACTTTTGATTTTATTTGATTAAGTTAATAATTTACTATTTTAGTAATATAATAATTTAATAATTCCGAAGTCATTTCTTTAAAATAGAAGAAGAAATAATTTGAAATATGTTTTTACTGTTTTTAATAACTTTTTTATTACTAGCTTTTTATAATAACTTTTTTGTCTCAAAATTCGAGTCTCGACAATCAGAATAAAAAAAGTACTCAAAAGGGAAATTAACAAAGAGGGTCTTAAAATTTTACAACTTCAAATAAGACTCTCCTCTTTCCTTAAAATAAGAGTTTCTTCGGAGAAAAAAATTTGGTTCCATTTTTAAGTGGATTACAATGAACTGAAATTGTATTGGAAAATAAAAGTGTTTTGCGTCTGTAATTTTTTTTCTTCTCACATATTTTTCTTCTTCTGTATGAATTTTTTTGATTCGAAAAGAAATTTCTAATTTCAAAATTAAACAGAAAATTTTCCCCACAATTCCAAGTAAAATTCTTTTTTAAAAACTAATAACGAATTATAGGAAAATTTACCTGAATCCAATAAGGCAAATAAAATCCAGAGCATGCAAGAATAGAAGCGACTGTCGACAATGTCGCCCAAAAAATGCACAACACTGTCATTTCACTAGAGAATTTATTTTTCACACTATTATCATTTTCCTTTTGACCGCTATCACTTTTTTATTGGTCAAAAAGTGAATAGAAACGGAAACGTTCCCTCTCCAGTTCCTTCAACACTTCCCACCCGTGAATAATCACTCGATCATCCTCACTCAATGTTAATTATCCCATCAATTGAGCTTTGTATGAACTTTCGAATAAGACGTTTTATAATCAAAACCAAAAAAAGGAAAAGAGGGGGAAAAAATTCACCAACTACTAAGAACAAAAATAATCCATTTCTCCGTAGAGAGCGAGTAAAAAAAATTCAAGAAACATTCGTCTGGGTTTAATTATAAACACAGACCATATAATTATAGATCACTCTTGCTTCTCAAGTAATTCACAATCATAAGTTTTCGAAACGATCTTCTTGGCGCCGACTTTCCTCCCATTAGAAGAAAATAAAAGAGGAAAAAAAATTAAAAATACTTTGGCGCGTATTTTATTTTTAGCATTTTTTTTTTTTTTTTGAAGAGTGAAGAAAATAAGGAGAGTGGAAGGGAAAAAGAGGAGAAAATACTTTGGAGAGAGAGAGAGAGAGAGAGAGTGAGGGAAAAATAAAATTTTTCTATCGAGTATTGAAATAAAAATTTCTTTTTTCTCCCGAAAATGATTTGAGCGAGCGTGAGAAGAAGCGCTCAACGCCGCGTTCAGATTGCGACTAATCCCTTTTCCGTCTCGGGTTCACACCGTCAACTCGGCAGCAAACACTGATAGCGACGAGCAACCACATCTTCACTATGAGAATGTGAATTGTACGTGCTCGAGAGCGTGTAAACGTGTGCAAGCGCACGTGTCAGATGTGTTGAGATGTGTGCGCACGTGCAATGATGTACAAGTGTGCCGCATGCGCTCTCCTCCGCTAATCTCTCTCTCTCTCTCTAGCACTCTCCTTCTCTCTTACTCTCCTTCTCTCTTACTCTCCCTTTCTTTTTCTCTCTTGCTCACTGTTTCTTTCTCTCTCTTTTTCTTTCCCCTCTCTGTTACTCTCTCATTCTCTCTTACTCCCCCCTCTCACTCTCTCTCTCCCTTTCCTTCTCTCTGATTCTCTCTCAGAGAGGAAAAGAGAGAGTTTACTCTATCTCCCTTCCTCTCTCATAGAGGAAGAGAGAAGGGGTTCTCCATCTCTCTTTCTCTCTCAGAGAGGGAGAGAGAGGGGATTTTCCCTCTCCTTTTCTCTCTCACAGAGGGAAAAGGAGAGAATCCTCTATCTCTCTTTCTCCCAGAGAGGGAAAGAGAGAGAAAGACGTAGAGGAGAGCAGAAGAGAGAGAAAGAGGAGAGAACCACAGAGAGAGCAAGAAGGCGATAGAGAGAGAGAGAGAGAGAGAGAGAGAGAGAGAGAACCAGATAGAGGTAAAAGAGAGAGAAAGAGGAGATAACCAGAGAGAGGGAGAAAGAGAGAGAGAGGGAGGAGAGAACCAGAGAGAGGGAGAGAGAGAGCTTTTCATCTCTCGTTTCTACTATCTTGGCACTCCCTATTTCCGTCCATTGGACACTGCTGAACGACCTACCCCACACGCGTGTCCTTGGTACTCACTCTCAAAGAGGTTCAATCGACCTCTACTTATACCACTATCGTTATATTGACAGCAACTGGTGACAGTCAAACCTGCAACTAATTTCATTAATACCCATGTATATGTCCTAGTCTATTCAAATAGACATTCAATCAATTACCAACAAGTGTATTTCAAATTGGAAATACATTTGATGGGGAAAGAATTTATATTCAACATTTAGAGAGAAATTATAATTTTATAGTGAAAGATTTTTCTTGTCATTCTCATTATATATAGAGGGAATTCTTTTTTTTATTATGAACTTGTTTGGTTTGTGTATTTAAAGGAAAGAACTGTTTAAGTGGCGATTTAAATTTTTCTCTTTAATTCTTCTTATTATCTGTGTAGTAAAATTGAATTGTATAGTTTAAAATTGAATAAAATTGAATTGTGTAGTTTAAAATTGAATAAAATTGTTTTGAAGTATTTATTTTGTAATTGTTATACAAGTAGTAATATTGAGTTTTAGTCAGACAGTATTTTTCTATTTTTTCTGTTCCTTTAGTTTAGTAGTAAAAAGGTGATTAAGTCAGGCCTCGTAATTTTTTAAGTCAAGTAGAACAGGATAGCTTGAGTCAGACATATTTATTTTGTAATTTTTATTTAAGTAGTAAATTAAAGTTTCAGTCAGACAGTATTTTTCTAATTTTGTTTATTCTTTCGCTTTAGTAGTAAAAAGGAATTTTGGTCGGGCGTAGCTATTCTCCAATTTAAGTAGAATAGGACAGTCTTAGTCAGATGTTTTAATATTGTAATTTTTATATAAGTGATAAAATTATGTTTTAGTCAGACGGTATACTTTATTTTTTTATGTCTATGGTTTAGTGTGAAAGGTGTTTTAGTCAGGCGTAGTATTTTTTTTATTTAAGTAGAACAGCGTAACTTTAGTCAGCCATATATATTTTGTAATTATTATTTAAGTAGTATAATTGAGTTTCAGTCAGACAGTATTTCTCTAATTATTTTTTTATTATAAGTAGAACAGAATAGTTTTAGTCAGACGTATGTATTAACTTTGTAATTTTTATTTAAGTAGTAAAATTGTGATTCAGTCAAAAAGAATTTTTGTCCTGGATTTGATTTAGTAGTAAAAACAATTTTAGTCAGACATTGCAAATTTTCAATTCAAGTAGAAAAGTACAGTTTTAGTAAGACATATTGATTTTTAAAATTAATATAACGGAGAAGTTTGAGTCAGTATTTCTTAATTTTTTTCTATTCTTTAAGATTAGTAGTAAACCGGTTTTAAAATCAAGGAAAGCAGTATATTTTTCCCTTATTTCAATTTAATAGTACAAATGAGTTTTAGTCGAGCATCGAAATTTTAATATCCAAGTGGAACATGATAGTTTTAGTCAGACGCAATTACATTGTAATTGTTAAATAAGTAGTATAAATAAGTTTTATACAGACAGGTTTATAATTTTCTGTAATTCTCCCGTTTTCGTAATAAAAGTTATTTTAGTCGTCCCTAGTAATTTTTTAACCCAAGTAGAATAGATCAGTTTTAGTCAGACATATACTAACCTAGTAATTTTTATAAATGATAAAAAATTAAAAATCGCTGACTGATTGAAACATTATTATGTTTCAATCAGACTGCGACTTTTAATTTTTTCCGTATTCCAATTTACTTAGTAGTAAAAATAAGTTTTAGTCAGACCTATTAGTCTGGTAATTGTTATACAAGTAGTAAAATTAAATTACAGTCAGACACTATTTTTCTATTTTTTTTCTTATTTTTTCGCTTTATTAATAAAAAGGAATGATATAGTCGATTATTGAAATTTTTCTATTTCAGTAGAACAGTCATATTTTAGTCAGACGTAAAGATCCCGTAAATTTTATACAAGTAGTAAAATTTTTTTTTTTATCAGACAGTATTTTTTTAACCTAACTCTTGTAATTAACACATAAGTAGTAGAACACAATTTTAGTGAAACGAAAATTTATAACTTTTCCCTCTTAGTAGTAAAAAGCAATTTTAGTCAGACAATGTAATTTTTCTTAAAGAGTAGAGCAATTAGATGACTTCTTTTTGTCAACTATTTTTTCTCTTTCAATATCCGAGAGTTTAAATTTTTTTCTCACTAGAACACGTTTTTCTACTAAAACAGTGATTTATCTCTTTGGACAACTTGTACTTCTACTAAAAAAAAGTGCTTTGTCTGACTTAGGATGGTTTTACTACTGAAGAGGGAAATTTAGTATTTAGGAAAGGAAAAAGTTTTTTCTACTAATTAGAATAGTTACATTTTTTAACATTATAGTTTTGTATAAAATATATAGTAATAAATGTTCAATAATAAATAATATGTAATAAATAATAAATACAAAAAATAGTTGCATTTATTTATTACTATTTTCTTATTTATTTGTTCATTTATCATTATTTTTCTAAATGATTTATTTACTCTTATACTTTTAAATTTACTTTTTTTATTCTTTCATAGTTTATTTTTAATTGCAATGTCCGTCTATTGAAATTATTTATCTCAGAAGTAAAAATATGTTTTAGTCAGTCATGTTATTTTCAATTTTTTTTCAATTTTTACACAAGTAGAATATTTTTTTTTAGTTAATAACTAAATTATAAGTATTCAAATAGAAACGATCATTGTAAAAAAAAACTCTTTTAGTAAAAAAGTTTCTTTATTGTTATTGTTAAAAAAATGTTACTCACGTTTCCAGGAATCAGATACAGAAAAAAAAGATGTTTTTTTATTTATCGATTTTTCTTTCTCATACTCACACCATTGACAGATTATCCTTTGATTTTCACTTCCGTCTGTATCTGTTAGGGTTCAAATAACTTCCACAATTTTCGTTCAATGTCGGTTTTCGTGTTTATAAACGATGAGTGTGGATGAACTTTGGTCCCTTGTAACCTTCATGCGAAGTTATCATCAGAGTTATCGTATTCGATTGGCGAGGTCCAGTGGGAGACTCAACGAAAGCTGCGGTTGGAGAACGGAAATGAAATTTGAAGCTATCGTCCGGTCAGCCATTAACGAGACTATTCGCTGTGGTTATACGAAACGATGAAAATCTCCGCAGATATGATATCCTGCCACTGGCATATTATAATGAATTCCTTCAACTTTTCATTATATTAACGACATATACATATATATGTATATAATCTATATTCGTTTTATAATATCATAGGGTGACTATTATTTTATTAATCCCCTTTTTCGAAAAATGAACTAAAAATTCTTATCATTTCAGATTGGAAAATATTTAACAAGTTTTCTACCCAATGGTTTTTATTTAATACAATTTTTATTTTTACAATTTTTATATTAAATTTATTTAGGAAGCGGAATTTTTATCTAGATATTTAACTGTATTAACTTTTTTAAATAAAAAATATTTACTTTATTTGATTTGTACTTTAATTTTAATTTAAAGTAGAAATATTTATTTTAATTTTGAAAATAAAATCGATCGTTTTACCACTAGGTTGAGAAATTTACCGGAATTAAAATTATATTGTCTGACTAAAATTACTTTTTACCACTGATATTCAAAATAACGAGTAATCGAAAATCTTTTTTTCAAACAGACTTTTGGTACTGATCGAAATTTTACAAATAAGTATAAAATATTTTTTCTGACTATAACTATTGTTAACCACTGTTAATAATAAAAATGCCAAATATTTTTTAGTTTTTTATCATTTAAGTTGATTTTTAGTTAAAGTAACAAGGATTGTAAGGCAGTCTAATTGAAAATGGACTTTTACTACTAATGAAGAAAATAACAAATATTCTAAGGTTTCGTCTGACCAATATTGATTTTTACTACTGAAATTAAGAAAATATTGTTAAGTCTAGTCTGACTAAAATTTATCTCTACTACTGAAAATAACAAAATTAGGTTTTGAAGAATGAACTTTGCCTGACTAAAATAATATTTTACTACTATTCATAAATTTAGGAAAATTAAAATCATTTTTTTTTTTTAATTTATTTTACTACTGATATTAATATGATAAAAAATAGAAAACATTTGTCTGACTAAAAGTGACTTTAACTACTGACAGTAAAAATTAATTAATACTAGTAAAAAAATTTAAATATAGTAATATTAATATTAACTATTATTTAAAGTAGAAATAGATTGTTAAATTTGCTATTGACAAGAAAAATCTGCTTTTTAAATTAAAGAAAATATCTAACATTTAATATTAGTTCTACTTTTGAAATTATTTTGAAAAAAAGAGTGTAAAATCGTTTTTATATTAAGGACACATTGAAAGCTTTGAAAATTCACCGCAATGAGATAGTGAATGAAAAGTTAAATTTTCTCCATTACTTGAAGAAGAAGCAATATATGATT